GGACCCCTTTGATAACAGTACTCTTGCACTGAAGGGCTATCCTGTATAAAGATTTGTTATTATTATTATTATTATTATTATTATTATTATTATTATTATTAATTGCCTGATTACTTTCAACACTAAGTTGAAAACTGCTCTAAGCAGCCCAATTATTGTTTTAGCATGATTATTTCATTTAGAGTGGTTTTCAATCAAGTGTTGAAAGTAATCAGGCATTTACTTTGGTTTTGGTTTTGGTTTTGGTTTTGGTTTTACTACGGTTTGAGATTGGCTGAATAGTCTAATTGGTAATTAACAACTGCATCGCTAAATGGAGGTTGGGTGCCTGAGACATCCAGGAGCTTCCACTATTGGCAGCCAGCTCCTAGATGAAGACTGCTCTCATGGCTGCCAAATCCAGGAAACTGATCCATGAGCTCCCTAGCAGAAGAGGGAGAAGGGAGGGGGGAATGCTTGAAGACGTGCTTCCATGCAAACCAACACTCACTGTAAATGCTATCGCTGTAAAGGCTGTCAAAACATCTCAGTCCAAGAGTGCACAGAATCCTGGTGCATGCACATATCGATATATTACCATATGCCAGTCAGAGAGCAAACCAAAATGCCAAATAATTATTGTACTGAAGGTAAGATTGAACTATAACATAGGGCAACTCTGGGATGGTGCATTTGTCAGTTTCAAATTACAACAGAGACAATTTTGCATTAGTTCTTCTTAGAAGGCAAGCCTGTTTTATTTTTTATCACTAGGATTAACCCCCATAAAGGGCGTAGATGCATGTTCTTTTTCTGACATATGACTGATCACCACCCTTGCAACCCTTTGCTTGCAAACTCATATTTGCGTTTGTAATCTTTATACGAGAAGATATTAGATTGAGAGGCATTGGCAAACAACAGGATTATCACAGCTTCCAACACAATCAACAACCTTTAATTATATTAAGATTTACTTGTGGCCTCTTGGCTACAAATAACACAAAAAGGGCAGGGTTTAACTCTGTCAGGTTGACAAAGGGTAGCAACATAAGAGAGTACTAACGCTCTTGTTACTGATTAAACAATATACAGCTAGTAGTAGTGTGCTGAAAGGAAAGGTAATTTAATTATGTTTAGTATCAGGGGAATGTGGCAGTCATATCACCAGTTCTTCAGGAACCATTCAATCACCTGACTATCCCAAGCAGTACCCAAATGGACAAAAATGTGTCTGGACTGTGTCTGTTGAAGGTTCTGTACTGAACATCAAAACTTCATTTAGGTAAGATTAAGGGAGTCTGGAACAAGTGTTTTAATTGGCCAGATGTAGTAAATTTCTTTTTGCTTATGCAGTGTTTTGTTTCCACATGACATAAAGGAAGCACATGCACAAGCACTAGAAGAACTTTGTGCTTGTGTCTGCACTAAATTATGTATTTTTGCATGCATGGAGGCTGTTTTCATGGTGACATATTAAGAGTTTGTATACTTGTGTTTGTGCTTGTGTCGCTGGTGAAAACCAGGCTTAATGAATTTAATAAAAGTACCCCTCTTCAATCAGTGCACTTACTTGAACTACCAAAAAACTACTCAAACTAAAAGGAATCATTGCTAATAACTGTAGGGCTAAATCTGAAATTTCGTGTTCATTATTCAACAGTGCTTTTGACCTGCAAGACCCTGTTGATGAAAAATGTGTGGATTATGTGGCAATATATCGTTTGCAGCTGGACAAAGATCCTGACGCTGTTCTGGAGGGAAAGTTCTGCGGAGACTCTTTACCACAGTCCATCAAGATAGAGGAATCGTCCATGACAGTGCAGTTTATTTCTGATTCTGATTCTGTTTCTAATCCTCACACTGGATTTTCTCTCAATTTTGAAGCTAGCTTTCAAGATAGTAAGTGTTAGTAGTGTTTTATGATAAGACATTGGTGTCCCAAAACAATGAAATGAAGGTCATGTTGGTGTTCCAAACCAATCTTGTGGGAGGTGAACTCCTTTCTAATGTTAACACTTTCTTTTGTTCTAATAAATTTGCGTGGCTGCGGGCCACATGAGTGAAAACATTCTGTATGCATGATCGAGGGATGAAAAATGCATGGAGGAAGTGGGAACTAACAATAAAACAGGTTCACACAAAGGCAACTGTTTGTTAAACTTACAGCTTCCCAGAAAGACTTAAATCCATTGAGCTCACTATAGTGAGCTAGTATACAGTCACAACACTTCCTGTAATACAAGTTATGCAGAAAATGATTGCAGTCTAAATTAATTGAAAGTGTGTACAAGCAAATGCCGTTGTACGTGTATGTGCTCTCTCTATATAGGGCATTAATTTGGGAGGAAATGTATACATTAATTCTAAAGCCAAACTACTGCATCCATATGTGATTGACTGTAAAGCAGGGTTTCCTTTGGTGTTTCTTAGTTTGTATTTTGTTGCATTTTAGATTCGTCAGTTTCTCAAGCCACTGCTGGCATTGTTGCTGCAGTCTTTTGTGCCGTGGTCTTTATTGGAGTGGGTCTGCTGCGGTGTATGATGATGGGAGCATGTAATACCTGTGGTGGTCCTAACCCAGGGGATGATCACGACAGGCAGGTTGTGGGTACTAACGATTCCTACACATATAGAGCAGATTTTCCGCCTTCATATAGCACAGGTATTTCTTTTACCTTTTTTAGCAATCTGATTCCCAGGGTACCTCTCCTTCCTCCCCCACCCTCCTTTCCCCCTGACCCCCTAAGGGGTGAGATGGAAGGAGGTAGAGAGACTCTGGGAACAAGTTTGTATGATCAGCAGTTAATGATTACACATGAAACTGTTTCTCATGTTGGCTTAAAGACATGTAAAAGAACTTAGTATGATAAGAATTAAAAGCTCCAAAGAACAACTGATATTTTAAGAAAAGCCCCCTTAGACTGGGCTATATACCAAAATCTGTTCAACTCAACAATTGATACACAGACTAGCTCTGAGCAGTGTTTCAATTCAAGATCATTTCATTTTGACATTTCATTTCATTGCACTGCATTGCATTTCATTGCATTGTATTGCATTTCATTGCATTGCATTGCTTTCTGTTAAATTGCTCTTTGTCTTTGAGTGTTTTGTTTTAAATTTATTTATTTATTTAATATTTATTTATTAATTTATTCATTCATTCATTCATTCATTTATTTAGGGCTCCTGCATCTAGCTTTATTGGGATGTGTGTTTGCCAAAAGTTGTTTAGACCTGAAGATGCTATTAATTTTGCTCTAACAGTCTTGGGCTTATATAACTAAAGAAATCACTCTCACTGACTTTTTATATATTAACTTGTCTTAAAGTGATTGTAAATGTAGATTAGGTAATCCCGCTTATGTTAAGCGCTGCGCCCTGATAGTTTTTGTATTCAATTGACTTGCTTTTTGCTAGTTATGGATCATCCTGAGAGATTCCCCACGCCAGAATCCAGCCCCATGATGACAGCACAGAATAGAAATGGAACAGTGGTAACTGATGGGCAAGTTGCACGAGCTGAATTTACTCTTCAGTCTAGCGACAGTTCTGATGAAGATGACGATGATTCACCACCGCCACCTTACCCTGGGCTTGTTAGGTTTTCCAGACACCCAGTATTTTTTGCAAATAGCTGATGAAGTTTCACTCTCAAATGGATTTTGTTGTGGAAACAATACAGCCTTGTTTAGTAGGAACGTTGTATCAAACAAATATACAAAATGTGATCACCATGAAATGGTGCTACTACACATGTACATTCATTTGTAAATAATATAAAGGGATTCATACATAAAATACCAGTTAATCTATTCAATTTACAAGTTGCCCCTAGGGTACTTTTTGTCTAGACATACATGTACACCCTTGAAGAGTAGGTATTGTTTTGAATTAATAAAACATACTTTTGAAGTATTTATAATACTTTACTGAGTTTTTAATTTGTTTGATTTATTAACTTAACAGCTTGAAAACCATTCTTTGTATGTAATTGTTCTTTACAATCCCTTGTGCCAAACTGGCTGTCCTGGTTTTGGACAGTACTTTCCACCAGAACAAATTATAAATTATAAATAGTGTATTAATTTAATTAATAATATTACATCAACGTATTCACTCCAGCAGAATGATCTAATCCAAGACTCGGCAACATTCAAAAACCCTTGTTTACAAATCTAAATTTCGAGACTCAATACTCAACAATTTCTGCTAAATGCAATTTACTCAAACACGTACATGGAAAATTCTCTCAAACTTGAAAGGATTTGAAAGAATTCTCAAATATGAGTAGAGTAAATCATTTGATGCTCATGATAAATGACTGAGAAAATTATGAACAGATGTACACACATTAATTTGCCATGCAAATTCATATTTAGTAACAAATTTGCATCCTCTGCCAATCACATTGAAGTCATGATAAACAAGGGCATAAATTTTCTGCTTGCCAACTTTGCTAACTTTGAAGAAGAGTAATGGCCTTGGCCAAGAGTATCTGGAAAGGCATGCATGAGACAGTCATTCTGAGTGGGAAGGTACACAACTGAAATAATGGCATTCCATCAGCCCATATTTGGTTATTCTTAGCCCTGAACAATTCCATTTGAAGCACTTGAGTCGCCACTAGGTTTCCAGGCCATGACTATTGAACTGACAAGATTAATAAGACAAATTAATTATGAATACCCTATATTATTTGGGACAAGTCTATCGCTGATGTTCAGATGCCAATTTAGCCGTGAGTTGTCTCTCTAGTTCTAGTTGCCGCTCCTGAGCCTCTACTTTGCTACGTTCTTCCTTTTCCTTCTGTGACTTGAGTTTCATTGCTCTCCTCTAGAAATTTCAAATAAGAGCAAAGTTTAATTTCTTTTATGTTCCAAAACAAGGAAGGAAGTAAAGATATATACCTCAGATCAAGCCAGAAATAATAACTCTTATGTGATTAGGGAAATGTGTCTAGTGAGTGAAAAGCACAATTGCACAATGTCGTCATTTCACGACAACTACCAGAATTCATTTTGTTTCTCCTTTTTTATTCGAATTTTTAAACCACACTGGGATATAAATGACAATTGTGCCAATTAGCATGATATAAAGAAATCGTAAAGGATTCTGGTATTTGTAGTCAAATGATTCCATCATCATGCAAATCGCCTGTTCTTACATGGTTGGTATATCAGCTGAAGGCCCTAATATAATTATAGGGAAGAAGTAAAATAAAGGGTCTTCTCTACTGCAGAGAAGAAACTCTTCCCTCACCTGAAGTCTTGCAACTCTGTCTTCAATAGAGTTCATATCCTGCTTGATTTTAGTAAGCTTGGAATGATAGGTTCGAACATAGGAAAGCTGGAAGGCAAGTACACGCATACAGTCAGCCTGTTGTGTGAGAAAACAAGATCTCACTGGCCTTAAGGCTTCCAGGACTGCATCCTTAACCCAAGCAACCCAACTGTTTTGAGGGATAGATCACACTTGCCTAATTGTTCTTGACTGACATAAGCAAAGCAATGAATGTTACAGGTGAAAATTAAGAGGCGACAGTGATTTAACTATACAGAAAATGCCAAATTCATCATTGTCATCATGAATGTCAAAATTACTCAGTATCTAGCAGATGACGGCAGCAAATTTTATAATATTTGCCATTTCCACATCTCCCATAATACACCTTGTTTGCCCCCCAAAATTCTGCATAACCTTTTTCCCATTTCTCCTGGGTGTTACAGTCATCCCAAGAGAAACTGAAGACAATGCTTATGCAAAATTTTGGGGGGTAAACAAGGTGTAGTATGGGGGATGTGGAAACGGCAAATTGACCATTGACCAAAGAATGACACCCAGCATGGGAGTATAAACATGTGCACTAGCTTGTGATATACTACTTATAATAATATGCAAATGCTTTCGAGTGGTATACCATGGAATATTCTTATTGCCCTTTGTATTTTTTCAGTGCACACATGAGCCTGGAGGCAAGTGTATATACCAGGAAAATATAACTGACAGTGACAAAGGGGGAATTCCATGTTATACCTTGTAGGAGAAGCACATATTAACTATTTTTTACCAGGCCATAGAAAAGTGGTCAACACAATCAATGTGACATACACGCAGCACATGATGGGAATTTTGGGTGTGATGCCGTCAAGTATCAACAGCTTCCTGTATATTTCTGATTGGGTGTATCTTCTGTGGCATGGTTAAAAAGTGTTTATCTATGCCTTTGTTTTGAACTGGAATTTATATTCCAAGCAAACTCAACAAATCAAATTAGCCCACACTGGTAAAAGCCTACTAGCCAAAGTTCCACTGTACATGAGGCAACTGTAAGTAAAGTATGGAAACCATTAATGTTAGGGTACCACCTTGAACCAGACATGTACTGTAAGTGTGATCCTAATGGGTGAATTAAATAAAGAAATGACTGACTAAGCATTTACTTCAGACGAAAAGGAAGCTAGTGGCCATTAGGACTGAAATGTCATAAATTGATAAGTTAATAAAGATGGTGAATTTTAAGCTCGGTAATGAAATGTGAAGGTGAATTAATCAACATGACACGAGCGTGGGACAAAGAAAAATTCTGAGTCCCTGACAGGAATCGAACCCATGACCTCCCGAACACCGGGCGGGCGCTCTATCCACTGAGCTACGAGAA